TCTCAGGCGGGTTTTCGGGTTTTTTGGGGATTTTTTTGGGGAACAATTTTCAGGGTTTTCGGGATGATTTTTGGGATGATTTTTGGGATGGTTTTCAAGGAGATTACAGAGATTTTGGAGGATTTTCCAGGGTGATATTTTGAGGGTTTTCAGCGATTTTTCAGCGACATTCAGAGCGGTTTTTGCGTGATTTTTGCGACTTTTTTTTTGGTGTTCAGGGCGATTTTTTGGGGGGTTTGGGTGATTTTTTATTTGGTTTTTGGTGTGAATTTGGAGGATTTTGGACTCACTTCTGAGACCACTCGAGGTTCATGCCCGACTGCACGGCCAAGGCCGCCAGCAGCTCCTGCTGCTCGGGGCACTTGGGGATTTTTTTTTTACAGAAATTTTCAGGGATTTTGGGATGATTTTTGGGATGATTTTTGGGATGGTTTTCAGGGAGATTTCAGAGATTTTTGGAGGATTTTCCAGGATGATTTCTGGAATATTTTCACCGATTTTTTACCCATGTTCGGAGCAGTTTTTGCGCGTTTCTCAGGCAGGTTTTCAGGGTTTTTTTGGGATTTTTTGGGGAGTAATTTTCAGGGTTTTGGGGATGATTTTTGGGATGATTTTTGGGATGTTTTTCAGGGAGATTTCAGAGATTTTTGGAGGATTTTTCAGGGTGATCTTTGGAATATTTTCAGCGATTTTTCAGTGTTGCTCGGAGCAGTTTTTGTGTGCTTTTCAAGTGGGTTTTTAGGTTTTTTGGGGATTTTTGGGGGGAGTAATTTTCAGGGTTTTCAGGATGATTTTTGGGATGGTTTTCGGGGAGATTTCAGAGATTTTTGGAGGATTTTCCAGGATGATTTCTGGAATATTTTCACCGATTTTTTACCCAAGTTTGGAGCAGTTTTTGTGCATTTTTCAAGCCCGTTTTCAGGGGTTTTTTGGGGGATTTTTTGGGGAATAATTTTCAGGGTTTTGGGGATGATTTTTGGGATGATTTTCAGGGAGATTTCAGAGATTTTTGGAGGATTTTCCAGGATGATTACTGGAATATTTTCACCGATTTTTCAGCGTTGTTCAGAGCAGTTTTTGTGCGTTTTTCAAGTGGGTTTTCAGGGTTTTTTGAAATTTTTTTGGGGA